GTAACTTCAACCGATAAAGAAAATACAAAGCTTCTTCGCTAAGCTTACTTCTGAACTGCTTCTGTTTACTTTATTAACATCTTATTTATTCCTAAATCCTATGAAATAAGATACGCTTATATATACTTTCCATGGAATAAGACATGCTCTTATGCATTTATTTGCTTGCTTTCATAAATTCTATGAAATACGCTTATGAATACATTCCATGGAATAAAATATGCTCTTATGCATTTATTTGTTTGCTGGCATTCCGGAGTGAGTGATACTTTTGTTTATTTTTATTATCGCGAGGAATATATGTACATATGTTAATTATATTCCTCAGCGATTCTAAAATATTTGACGGTTTACGTTAATATGATATGTCAATATGTGACTATAGAGTGTGGGAAAACGAAGATGGCCAGTGCTCCCGGAAGCTAATAGTAGTTCCGAAGTTAAGAGTTCCGGATGTTCTTAAGGAATTCCATAACGGTCCTAGTGGAGGGCACCTAGGCATTACAAAAATGCTGGAAAAGATCAAGCAGCGGTTCTGTTGGGTTGGCTGTCGGCAATCGGTCGCGGAGTGGATTGCTTATTGCACGGAGTTCATAGCAGCTAAAGGCCCAAAGTCCCGAAGTCATGGGCAGATGAAGCAGTATAACACAGGGGCACCATTTGAGCGGGTTGCCATGTATGTAGCAGGTCCATTCCCTATGAGCAAACAAGGCAACAAATACGTTCTTGTGGTAATGGACTATTTCACTAAATGGCCTGAAGTTTGCCCAATCCCAAACCAAGAAGCAAAAACAGTGGCGGATACATTCACTAACAAGTGGGTTACCAGATACGGTGCGCCTATAGAATTGCACTCAGATCAGGGAAAAAACTTTCAATCGGCGGTATTCCAGGAGATGTGCCAAATACTTGGTATGCGAAAAACCCGAACGACAACCCTACATCCTCAATCAGATGGTATGGTCGAGCGATTCAACTGGACCCTGGAACAGCACTTGCGGAAAGTAGTGGACAAGCATCAGGACAAGCATCGAGGAAGAGCTAAGAGAGGTGCATGCTCTTGTGAGACAGCGAACTCAAATTATGAGTGATAAAATGAAGGCCAGGTATGACAAGGCGATGAACTCCGAAGGTTTCCAAAATGGAGATTTGTTGTTTTTGTACAATCCACAACAGAAGAGGGGGTTGCCCCCAAAACTTCAATGCAATTGGGAAGATCCATAGATAATCAAACGACGTAGTGTATCGAATCCAAACCGTTGGGAGTCCAAGAAACAATTTGAAAGTGGTCCAACTTGAGAGGCTTGCTGAGCTTGGAACAGTGTAGCGAAAATGCGTACATTCTAGAACGATAAAACGAGAACCTTCGATTCGAACAACTCGATTATTCTACACTTTCGTCTACGAGCAGCCGACTGCTATATAAGGGCGACACTCAGCTGCTAAGTTAAGATGTAAAGTGAACTCGTTGGCGACAACATCAGTATAGAGTCGTAAAGTAAATGCGTTGAAGATTACATGATTGTGATTGTAACTAGTAAAGTGCATTGTAATTGAACTATGAATTACTGAGTAAATAAAGAACATTAGATAAGTTCTTTATAATAAAAGAAACTGCATATTAAGTTAGAGATTTTTTATTTAACAATCCAGAGATCGTACTCGAAGGATTCAGAAAATCATCGAGGTTGATTAAGCAAAATCGGAACAATATACTCTAGTTCTACGTCTTCAACATTCCTAGCATCTATTTCATCCCCTCCGCTGCCACCACATTTTCTTTTAATGAGTACTATAGCTATTTGATTGAATAGTTTACTTTAGCAAAGTTATAATTATTTCGCCCAGAACGAATTCCAAACTTTCTCTCTAAACTAAAAGCAAGAACTGCGCTCTCTAGTTATCAATTTTATTGAGTTTTTGTTTCAACGAACGAACGATTCAGTAAAGTTCCGGGAAAGTTATTGCTGTCCATCTAGTCGGCGTAAAAAACTATTATATCTTACTTAAACATACATATGTGTATATAAACAGTGACTTATGCACCAGTAGATCAACTAATGTATATAAATTTCCCGTGGAAAAAGTTAGCATCACCAATGCAAAAAAAATTTGGATTACTTCAATATTGCGCGAGAGTTTTTTCTATAGAAGTTGTGTGGAAGTTTTAATAAAAAATGAAAGTATTTAAGAAAAATAACACAAATAACCGTAATAATGATTTCTTTTCATTAGGTCAAAACAGTAAGTTAATTGCTGTACCGTTGCTAGCATAGCTGATGGAAGCTCAGCTATAGCATGAGGAATTTTAATGCATAGCGTGAACTATTTGGATTGTAGGAGATCTTGTTAAACGACGTGGATATTTTTCCTAATCTAGAATTGATCTACGTTGAAAAAGAACTTTTCACTTGTATTTTTCACCAATTATCAAAAGTCAATAGTACAAAATAATATTAAGCAGCTGGTTTCGAATGAGAGGAAGATAATCATTATCCAAAAAAATCATTCTCTCTGTGCATATAGAATTGGCGGATCTGCATGATAGATACGACCCCCGAATACCTTTGCCATTACTAGTTTTGTCAACAACTCTGCGAGTCAATCCATCATGTTTTTGTTGAATCAGCTTTACGCAAAGCCAGCAAGCGACATAGCGCTCAGACTCACCTTCAATGAACAAGTCATAGTTAAAGCAAGCCATATTATATAAAAAATATAAAAAAAATTATCAATAATTAATTTAAGGATTAAGTTTTAACGCTACGTAGCGAACAGTTTTAAAAGTACTAATATTGACACTTAAAAAACTACGCCAAATAACTGTTTACAAAATATATAACCAAAAGCAAAATAAAAAAGGAACGAACCGAAAATGGCAATGTCTGCTTATGTCGCCAGTGTAAACAGAAAAGCAAATGCACGCAGCGCAATCGACGCCGTCAGCTTAATCGACTATTTCATAATCTCTGATTCAACTACAAATTACCATGTATTGTAACGTCAGTAAAAGTTAGCCAGATAATAAATTCCGAGAGTGAGATGCCTTACACTCCAAGAGAAAGAAATTTACTGAGTTTTCACTGAACAAAACTCAGTAAAAACTAGCCATCAAGTTAGATAATTTTGGAGGTACTAATAGTCCTCTAAAAGGTAGACAACTTATGTTAAACTTGCTTTGCAACTATTTGTCTTTTAGACTTTCAAGAGGGATTACTTAAATACGAAAATGCGTTTGAAATTTTTTTTCCGTGTAAGCCAGCCATAGTATTACAACAATATTATAGTTTATTCGATTATATGAAAATTAATGTAAGAAAAATCTTTTTTTCCATCTGAACGCCTTAATATTTTATTTTGTGCGTTGTCGTCGCTTCCGGAAGCTTAAGAATGCATTATCGCCACTGTGGCCGTTGCAACAAACTTGTTTCGTAATTTTTGTAAATAATTTAGTCGACACTGCTTTTTAGTGAATTATAGGAATCCAAAACCAATTTGCGTTACACTACTAATAATAATATTGTTACGATTTTGCTTAATCAACCTCGATGATTTTCTGAATCCTTCGGGTACGATTGCTGTTTTCAATTTACTTTACTTTAATGTAATCTCCAAAGCGTTTACTTTATGACTCTGTACTGATGTTGTCGCCAACGAGTTCGCTTTGTAACTAACTCCCTTGACAGCTGAGTGTCGCTCTTATATAACAGTCGGCTGCTCGTAGACGAAAGTGTAGAATAATCTAGTTGTTCGATATCGAAGTTTCTCGTGTTATCGTTATAGATTGTACTAGTTATCGGTTTCTCTCTTTCGTCTGACAATCGCCTCGCATTTTCGCAACACTGCCCTCCACCTAAGTCTGATCGTCCCGATCAGACACATTCGCTGTTCCAAACTCAGCAAGCCTCTCCAGGTGGACCACTTTCATCTTGTTTCTTGTANATTGCCATTCTTTCACATTTGCTTCAGCAGCCAATAAATATAGTACCACAGCGCCCAGGATTCTAATTTAATTTTTGTTTCAATATCAATTGTTTATTTCACCAAATTATCAAAAGTCAATAATACACAATAATATTAAGCAGCTGGTTTTGAATGAAAGGAAGATAATCATTATCCAAAAATATCATTCCCTCTGTGCATTTGGAATTGGCGGATCTGTATGATAGATGAAACCACCGTACACCTTTGCCATCACTAGTTTCGTCAAAAAATCTAAGAGGCGATCCAGCATTTTTTTGATGTATCAGCTTAACGCAAAGCCAGCAAGCGACATAGCGCTCAGACTCACCTTCAATGAACAAGTCATAGTTAAAGCAAGCAATATCACTTAAAGAATAGGTAAAAAATCAACTATTAATTTAAGGTAAAAGTAAATAATTAACAAACAATTAAATAAATAAATGAACAATAAAAATAAAGGAAACGATATTATAATCAAAAAATAAAATCAAACAGTTTTAAAACTCAAGAAATTTTAAAACAAAAAGTTTTAACGCTATGCGGCGAACAGTTTTAAATGTGCTAATATTGACACTTACAGGCCTATTCTCATGGTTACCGGTAATGTAAATTTTGTTACTTTTTTTTAGCACCCGAAATTGAATTAGGTATTCTGGCGAACTGATTACAATAATTGAGCACTGCTTTTTTTGTTGTTGTCAAATTGCAACATTTGGTAAAGAAAAAAGAATGAGTCATACACCAAAATGAACGGAGCGCAATAAAATAAGTAGGTTTTATTTATTTGATTATTAAATCATAAATAGTGGAATTTAATTAAAGAAAATACGCCAAGACCACAAAGGCGCAGCTGAAATGGTATGTAGAATTCAACAAAGTAATCGACAGATACTAAGCGAAATAGCCTTGAATTTAAATGCATTTTATGGGCCGAATAGAACTGCCGCAAAATGGGAAGAGGTAAACATTATATTATATTTTGTTTATATTATCAAAAAATATCCATTGTGGTCTTTAAGCAACTGGAAGAAGCAGCTCCGCGCTCGGGCTCGCAAGCTAAAAGCAGAACGCTTGCGCACTTGCGGAGGCTCGTTTTCAGGCGAAGAGTTATCAGAGTTCGACGAACAAGCTCTTTCCGCATTTGGCATGGGCGCAGTCAATGGATAGGAGTGCGTAACCTTGGGTCTTCCTGTAAGTAAATCATTTGCTATTTGGTAAATATACACAAGACTTTAAGTTCCTGCTTACTTAGGGCACAGTCACAACTCTCGCGACTCCATCACCACGAAGCGAAGAGGAAGCATACCTGATTGAGGAAACGCTGATCGAATCGCCATCCGAGTTAACCGTAGACCCAAATGTATCCAACATTGCCGCAGCCTCTGATGCATGGCCTTCGATTGCTCCTACCATTTCCCGGCAACAAAAAGTGACAAAGGATGCGATTTATAAGATGATGGCTGAAGATTTGCAGTCTCAAGAGCAGCTATCTTCTGCATTGATGCAAATGGGGAAAGGGTTGGAGATTTTGGGCAATGCAATCTCAAAAGTAGCCGATAAGCTGTAGTTAGTTTTTTTTTATTAGCTACATAAGCGATTTTTTTTTACCAAATGAATTGCTATAAGTTTTTCTAAGTGTTTGTCTAGAAGACATTTTCGTTAGTAGTATTAAGATTTATGTAAATATGTATATAGCCATGCCTGAATATAAAAACAATGAAGACTGAATTTGTGATACAATAAAAATATTGTTTTTCAATACTTCTTCTATTCATTTATTCATAAAGTAATAAAAAACTGCGAAAACTAAATCATATGCATAAATGGTGCACGAATCCGTTCGGTTTCTCGAAAGAGTGGTCGCACAGTTTGAATATTTTCATCAATTTCATTCTCCTACAGTTCCATTTGCTCTATGTTGGTATAGCATGCGGTTTTATTGATAATATTGTTACGATTTTACTAAATCAACCTCGATTATTTTCTGAATCCTTCGGGTACGATCTCGGATTGTTCAATAAAAACTCGCCAACTTAATTTTCAGTTTCTTTCGTTATAAAGAATTAATCTTATGTCCTTTATTTTCTCAGTAATTCACAATTCAATTATAATGAACTTTACTATTTACAATCACTAGCATCAACTT